ATGATGGAGCATTTGGTGAGTAAAAAGAGAGTAAATTCGAAAAGCTCACGGTGTGCTCACTTTTTACTCCCCTAACGCTCGGAATTTTCTAAGAGTGTAGAGCAGACGCCCATGGGCCATGAACTCATGGTTTCAATGTTGCAATTAAACGGGAATCAGCGCATTTGTGCAGTCGGGATTGCAGATAGGGCCCGAGTCATGGTCAGTAATATCGTGCAGCAAGATGAAATTGGCTCGCTCAAGAAATTCCCAATGCAAACATTTTTCAAATATTCCGCAATGTCTCAGATTGGCATTCTTGCAGCACTATTTTTTTCATTTGTAGGCGGTTGTAGGTGATATGATATGTGGGACCAAGTTAGATGGAAACGAAAGGCCGAATTCCGTTTTGCACATAACAGTCGCCTAAATCGCCGCATAGGTTGCAATGAAAATGGCGAGGGATACGTGCGAGAACTAGCGTAAGTTTCAAAACCGGTACGTGCCGGAATCCATGCAAGTACGATCGTATTGCAAAAATGCGAGCTATTCGAAATATCCAGTATAAAGTTCTATAACTTGTCGTCTATTCTCCACGAGCTGTTGAGGTCATGAAAGATCCAACCTTCCTAAACTTGCTGTTGAGAAGCACTTGCGAAACATGTACTTTTTCCGACCTGAAAAACCTATTCACGGATGAATATCCCATGGATATGGGTCGAGCTGTCACATCCAGCACGATAGACATTGGACGAAAGTCTGGCCAAAGTGGAGTCTCGGAAATGGTTGTCCACATTTCTGCATTGGGTTCTTTGAGATGTGTCGTAAAGATGACGCTAGGAGAGGATTCATTTACTTATTTTCCGATGAAGAATGGTAGAAAGTGCGCGCAAGTGAGATGGCTATTGCATCGAGAGCAAGCAGGTGTGATAGAAGGAATTTAAAAAATCAATTCCCAATCAATCCTCACTGCCCATGCAGACCTCTCTTCGGCACAAGTGTGACAACCAATCTGTGTCCTATCTGCGGGCAAGCCACCCATCTGTTATTCGAGCAAACAAGGTTCCAATAAATGAAGCGAGGTGACGCGTAAATAACCGATATTTCAGTGGTATCAGGGAGTGACTGGCTTTAAATCCTCGTAACTTTTCCTGCCTTTTCCTACAGACAACATATGGGAACACACTCAAACTCCTCAATGCATTTGCTTGAACAGGTTAACTTTTTACTGCATGTTGTATACATTTCCTTGAAGGTATGAAAATAATATATTTTACATCAAACTGCCACAATTTGGTAATTTAATACAAATTTGAGTTTTCGCCAAAGAGGAATAACTTTGCAAAAGCTACAACAGGCAGAATTTGTAAATATCAGACAAAGACGTGAGGTAAAGATATGAGAATACATATGCATGACAAAGCTTTTCTAAACATGAAATATAATTTTAAAAATTAAGAAGTTTTGACAAAACAAGGCGAAAGGTCTTAACTATGGGACGGACTCAATATTTGCAATATGCTCCCAGTTGGTAAAAAAAAAAACCACATACATTTAAAAAGTAATTATGTTCTTCATTATGCAATTATTTCGATATATTCCATATTGGAAACCCGATGCAGTGAACAGTGGGGTTTAAAATGGTTTAAATAGGGGCTCGACTCGATGGGTTGTGGATAATTTGAAAGTTTTCCCTCCAATTTCATAGGATGTGTCTGACTCCCATTCAGGGGATGTACTAGTAGATCTGGGTGTGAGAAAAAAAACCACCCAAGGGGTCTCACCGCTAACAAGCACTTCCAAACGGGATAATAAAAAAATTGAGTGATGGATGATATCACAATGAGGTTCTCATCCCCTTTAGGTAAAAGTCTCAGGAGACAATCGAGGGAGGTAGTACTCTCCGGAGTGCTCCTAACCAGACCGAGACTCAGCGGCAAGAACCTTGGTAGAGGAGCGGAAAAAATACGCAGGAATGTAGATGCCAACTCAAGGCCTTTTGAGCCTGAAAGTCATGCCGCGCGTTGGTGTTTAAAGTTGACAATGCGGGCTCCCAGCGTGTGGGTTGATGTTGGCTTAACGCTGGGCGGAGGGACAAGCCTAAAAGTCATTCAACATACTCCTTACGTTGGACCAACATAAAGTGTGCAGCCTGGGAGAAATGCTCTGAGGAAATCCAAATGCGTTTCTCCGCATTATGTGCCACTCTTACACAAGCACCTAACCGATCCATGTCTCTTGTATGCGAGGAATCTTCCGGAAGCCCGTGAATGTTACTCCTAAATGATAGGTTTTTGTATTTTACATGGAGGAACCGAACACCATGGCATTTCGAAACGCTGATATAGATGATCGCATTCAATGGGGAAAATAGGTTCTCCAATCAGTCGCTTACGAATGCTTTGAATTTCGATCGGCATCTCATAAGAAACCTAGGAAGCCCATGTAATTTTTTTTTAAGGAAAAAAAAAACAAGTGAGACATGACTTAACAATATTTTCCCCAGTGGTAGGGGGATGTCAGATCTTTGACCTTACCCCTTCATGGTCAAAAGGTGAGATGCATCTTTAAAAGGGGTGCACCTTAGCTTTCGCTTTTGGGACGAAATGAAAATGACATAGCGATGAGTATTATAAGCAGTTGCCTCAAAAACATATGTGAAGGAACTCACCCGAAGGTTGGAGATGGGAATCTGGCATGGAATCTGTATGGACTGGGGAGCTGGAGCTGAGGACCCAATGAATCCTGCCTGGACACTCGGCTGCAAACGAAGCATCGTGTAAGGTGAGTCCGAATCGAACCCAGTCGGGGTCAACACGAATCAGTCGCATCCACTGACCGTAACGGTGACGACTGCAGGATTGGGATAGTCGCTGCAAGTTCGCTGGAAATTCAAGGATACGATCCCTTCCGACCCGACGACTCGAACGAAGTATTTCCTGGATATTTTGCTCGAACCGCTCTCATCCCACTCTTCGCTTTCTTCCGCATCTCTGTGCGATCGTCAGGAAAGGAGAAAACTCTATGAAAGCAATGGAACTGGCTTCCTAGGGAACGACTGTATAGCGAAAACTTGCCTGTAAGCTAGAGAGCACGGCGAGGGGCACTCGATGACGATTTTATCCCCCTCGCGCACTTCATGATAAAGGAAATGAGACTGCCAGTAGTTGGTTCCATTCACGGTATACGTCCCGACAATATCATCGGTCCAAGTCGCCAGATCTAAAAGATGAGAATGTCTCGTGGACGATCATCGGCCTGCATATAGACGATGGTAAGAATAAATGGGTGGATCTCATCGGACTGCTGAGGGCAGGGCAAGTGTTGGAGTTGTCCACGCATTCCGTTGAGAAAGAACAGAATAGCGGAGTTGTCGGAGGACATTTCCTTCCGTCTTCTTCCACCTGATGGCAATCCGAGCTGCAATGTTCGTAGGTGGAACGGCACAACTTCTCCGTCGGCGTCTGACACGACCACCTCCGCACCTGTATGCACGACCGTTTCCAATACGTTCGCATGAGGGATGAGTCGAGCTAGAATCGAGCGAAGATCCTAAATCTCTACCTTCAGAGTCACGGTTCCACCGGTGGCGTAAAATTCCAGATAAGTGAGACTCCCCGTGAAGGGGATGGGAGAAGCGAAGGTGAAAGATACCACATCCGTTCCCGACGGATACTTGAGGGTGTAGAGGGACGGGGTTCCTTTAGGCGGGGGTGTGCCCAGCGAAAAATGCCTTCCATCTGCACCGCCACAAACCCAGTTCATTTTCATTGCCGTTCTTTCGGATGCGACGAAAAGGTGGCTGGAAAGTCACTCCGAATTCCGAATGTACACGTTACGGATACCGAACGAGACTTACGCATTTTTAGTACAGTCAGGCCAGGTGTGCTACCGGTACTTAGAAAACCGGACTCTCGCATCGAGTTGCAATAGAGACCCCAGGGGCGGATACAGAAATTTTTTTATAGGGGGGGGGGGCGGTTCCAAAGTTTCTACCTACCCCCCCCCCCCCCCCCCCCCCCCCCCCCCCCCCCCCCCCCCCCCCNCTCGTCCGATCGGAGCCATGGCTGCCAACTAATGGCAGAAGCCGCCTTATATACCCCGAGGGCAGAAGCTTCGAGAACATTCCAGCATATACAAATGCAAAGCCCCGCCCATCATTCCTTTGAAAATTTTTATAAATAGTTTTAGAAAGTGTTGCAAGACTTTCTTTCCAACCCAATAAATCAAATGCTAACTTGACCATAGGGGGGGCGGTCGACCCTGATAGAGACTGATGATCGACAACGAAAGATGTCTGTATTAATCCTGCAGTGCAAATCGTACACAAGGAATCGGCTTTCTCGACCACCTGATAAGATGAGAAACTGGAAGAGTGCCTCACCTGGGAGCGAAAGAGTGGAGGACACGGGTGCCCTAGTTCCATCAGTCCAAGAGACGTTCACCTCCGACTTGTAGGTGTTGATGAAGTCAACGGAGCAATTCAAGGTCTTATTTGGGGTTGCGACCTGATCGCACGTGAGGCTCCCTCCTACTATGTCGTATTTCATCCATTCCTCAATGGTTTCCGTTTTCAGAGACGGAGAGGACGAATTGTCGTTCACTAAGGCCAAAGACACGGCTGGAAAGAGAAAACGCTCCGGGATCGTATACTTCTCCCTTCTGTTTAAGGACATCGTCACGGGGAGAAAGGGGAACGTGGATATACCGGAAATTTGATAAATCCCTGGGATGGGATACATGAACTGAGGGCCATTGACGAAAGGTGGTGATCCATCCCCGAGGGACACGATCTGTTCGACTGCACCGCTGTACCCCGTCCATGTGATGTTCACTCCGAATCCCTGCAGCCCACGGGGAGAAATTAACATCCCATCGTGAGAACACGGGAGAGGAGTATGCAAAAAAAAAATTAGAGAACAACAATGAAACATTACACAGGTTGATCCACATGATTAACGCGAAATGTATTGTGTTTTTATAAGCAATCGCGTTCGTCCAGATTTAGGACCTACATGTCCATCGCTTCTTCTTTTCTTCTCCATAAGGCACATTTTATCCTTCTCAGGAATGCTAAGTCATCCTTGGAATTTACCTCGTCCTCAGTTTCCCTCATTTCGCTATTTCACGGTGAGACATTCACATCGATTTTTAGGATATTTTAGATATGACGATATCCTCAAAATTTTCGCTCGTTCCAACATTCTCAAGTTAACATTTTAAAATCTGATTTCGGAGACATGACCGATCTTGGAATCTGCTCATGAATGCCGGGCNCATTTTAAAATCTGATTTCGGAGACATGACCGATCTTGGAATCTGCTCATGAATGCCGGGCCGGTTTCGTTTTGGATATTGCTAGGTCAACCCGATGGTCTCGCAGGAGAACATTCCGCTCGATGTGGATGGACGCGTCCCGACACCCGTCCCCCGGCGAGAGGAGGCCGAGCCAAACCACGGTTGGCATATAAGGAAGGTGAAGTCACATAATCACTTTAAAGAAATTGGTGAATTCCCTCAAGCGAATCTGAATTCTGTAACTGTAACGAAACTAGATGCCCTGAAATCACTGCAAGAATTATAGGAAAATAGGATGGGTTTGGAAGAGACGAATTAAAGACTTTTTCACTATGAATCAGGTCTTTCCGTCTCGCAATCAACAATAAAAGCTACGAAGCAAACAAAATTATTTCGATCTAAAAATATATGTCTTGCACTTTTAAATACCTGATTTAAATATTTAAAATGACTGCAGGTGACAACAAGCAACGGTGCGTTGGAGTAGACAAAAATTTGGAATACCTGGTCTTGGAGCTGGATTGTCAGGTGCTGTTGAAGAGTCTCGCCAAGAATGTAGGTCCCAGGGAGGATTTGATATACGGTCATGACGAGGGGGTCATTCAAAGACCCACAGGATTGTCCCGAAGGACACGTGGACAAGCAGTTCCCCCGCTCACCTGATAATGCACCGAAGCACAAATTGAATCCTCCTACATGACCTTGATTTTTTTTTTGGATGCAGCTTACTGGGGATTCGCATCCCGCACGTGCAGTAGGATCCGGCTTCCTGTAGGGCGGCATAGGTGAAGCTGACAGTATTGCAATCCGACATGCATTTCAAAGGAGTCGTTCCGGAAAGTGGGTCGTAATCCCCCGGGGAAAAGGTGAAGGCAGGTCCACTGAGGTCATCAATGTAGCATCCCACCTCCGACACCTCTGTTCAGGATAGTACATACTTTATCGTGTAAATATTCCGCATTGTCTCTCAAAGGATGAGGCTCAATAAGGCTCCTTTTTCCCATGATAAAAACCTATAAATTCGGTTGACAGAAGCTCTCCTTGTAGGCCATGAAGAAAAGCAAACATTTTGTGCCGTACGCACTCAGATTCGAGTAGGGAGCGGGCGGAAATCTGGGACTGCGGTGGAATCGCATAATGCTACGAGCCAACTTTCACATACGGTCTTATGTAATTATTCATTTCCATCTTGTAAAATGACAGTCCGAGATCGAGAACTGTCCGTGTTCTGTCTGTGTGCAGCAAAAATGAGTAGGGAGTCGCTCTTATGGCATGACTCATATGGTCATATGGCATATGCACAGGGTGTCCTCAAATTTTTTTGTTTTTGCAAAAGTCGGCTCGAAAATAACCCACTGGTGTACCAAACCGTTAACCGTGTAACCCATGCTTTTACAATGACAGCGTATGATAGGACCGTATCACGTCTCAAAAGCCAGCAAAACCAAGCCACACTATACTTCGTCGATCAGTTGCTGCTGAATGAACAACATGTTGAATATGGACGTCATTTGCCTGCAAACACAACTTCATGTTCGGAGATGTGCTCCGCAAAATTGGAATGTGACATGGACCGCGAGCCTTCTCAAGGTCTATTTAGAACTCACGAATATCGGAGGAAACCAGAGGGATGGAACAGATGAGGACCCTAACCTGGAAAATCCAGACGAGAATCAACAATTGACTCCACTCTTTCTGAGCAACTTCGACGACTGATAAAAATCGTCACGGAAAAGGAATAAATCCTTACCAGGAGGAGCAATGGTGAAGAACTCTCCCACATGATGCAGAGGTGGATGAATGCTACTCTGCCTAATGGAATCCTCGTCGGATGTCACCCGAAGGTCAACCCATACCCGTTACCATCGGTTACGTGGGGCCGTGCGTCCCAAACAATCGACTGTCCCTCGGCAACATTCCTTAATCACATCCCTCTCGAGAACGATACCCCAGGGACAGGAATCCCCTCGCGGGATCACATCACGCAAAGTCCCGTCAACGATTCTCGTTCCCTTTATGCCTCTTTCCCATTTCCTACCCGCTTCCACTCATTTATGCATGAGATCCAATGGAAATGTTTTTCCTCATATAACGATTTGCGTATTTCTTGGAGCAGCCCTTTTCAGTTTTCCTTTGCAAGTATATCACTCGGGTGATATTGGATATCTTTCGTACTGGTATTTCCATACGATCGTCAATCCGTACCGTGTTAGAATACGTTAAGGCGTTTTGTGGTTTCGTGTAGTCGATAAGCTTTAGCTTTTCCAGGTCATAGGCTAGGAGGCCGATAAGCCTACAAGCCGTTGCCTTTCTAGGTTATAGGACGAGCGGGATAAGATAAAGTTAATTAGGATGTGATGCGGCGTGCGTCCACAGAACGAAAGCGGGGAGGCAGCTGCAACGCAACGTTTAGGTTGCAGAGCAACGTGAGGCTGTTAACGTTACGCAGAGACCAGCGCGTGTACGCGTCGAACCATCATCTCATCAGGGAAAGGCAAACTTTGACACAGTTGTTGTCAAAACAATAAGGTGGTCCATACGATCCCATTGGAGTATCTCTGCTCTCAAAACGCTGTTAATGGGGGAAGATGCAAACGCAATCTCAATTTTCGCTAGCTTATTAGGCAGCACAACAGCAGAAACACGTTTTCTTCCTTCGGTGCAACGATCGTTGACGATCCCGGTAACGGTTCATACCGCTTCAAAATATCCAGGGAGGTCTATCATCTGGCTACGATGAACCCACAGCCTTTTGATGATGTTCTTCCGCTAAATCAAAATCAGTAACCTGCGTATTCTCAACTGTACGTTTATGATATGGATAAAGCGGTTCAAACACAGCTGCGCATGAAAACTCGGAACGGGAAGTGCATCGCTGTTTCTTCATCGACGGACCAGGTGGCATTGATAAAACATTCCTGTACTTCATGCCCATTCACATATTGCACGGCAGAGGACTGAATTTTCACGAGCGTTGTGTGGACTGGTATTGCTGCAATTCTGTTGCCTGGTTGTATTGGGTTGGCCGGAAAGTTATTGCAGTTTTTGCCTTTTCTCATTAGGAAGCCTCACGAATTTTCTAGAATTTTCTCACTTCGCCTATAAATAGTCTCCCTTCTTGCGTGCACGTTCAGTGTATTTTCGATCCCTTATCGCCCGTCGCCGACCTTGACCACCTTCGTACCTGCCTCCTGTATGAGTTCCGTCTGGGAGAGAAGGCAGCCGACGCCCATCGCCGTCTGTGCCAGGCGTTTGGGGAAGGAGTCATCAGCGAGAAGACGTGCTTCGATTGGTACGCTCGCTTCAAGTTCGGAAACTATAGTGTCGAAGACAAGCCAAGGTCGGGACGCCCGTCGGAATTGGATGATGAGGCGCTACTACAACTCGTGGAAGCCGATCCCCACATGACCACTCGCGACATGGCTGCCGTCCTCGGGCGCTCCCACTCCACCATCGAACACCGCCTGTCCACGATCGGGAAGGTCTCGAAGCTCGGGGAAGCTTGGATACCCCATGCTTCGACACAGAAGGACCTCGACAAGCGTTCCGACACCTGTGTACTTCTCTCCCGCCGACGGCGCTTTGACTGGTTCGACGACGTCGTCACGGAAGATGAGAAGTGGGTGATGTACGCGAACCACACCCGCAAGCGTCAGTGGGTGGACGCCGATGAAGAGCCGTAGCCGGAGCCGAAAGGTGACCTGCACCTCTGCAAGGTGATGCTCTCCGTATGGTGGGACGTGCAAGGTGTCGTGATGTTCGAGCTGCTTCCTCCCAACACCACCATCACGGCGGCCTACTACTGCGACCAACTGGATAGATCGAGCCAGAAACTCTCAACGGCTCGGCCGGGACGTGACAAAGTGCTGTTCCTCCACGACCACACCCGGCCGCATACCGCAAAGATGACCCGGCTCAAACTTCTCGCCCTCGGATGGGAGATTCTGCCGCACCCACCGTATTTCCCGGACCTTGCTCCGTCGGACAACTACGTTTATCGAGCCCTGCAGAACCGCCTCAAAGATAAAAAGTTCGACGACCAGAAAGACCTCGAATGCTACTTGCGACAGTTCTTTGAGTCTCAGTCCCCATCGTTCAACCACGACAGAATCAATTCCCTGGCTGGAAGGTGGAGACATGTAGTGGAACACAATGGTGCTTACATTGTCGACTGATATTGTATAGTTCCTGAATAAAATTGTTTTCTCAAATATTGTCTGAAACCTGCAAGAACTTTCCGGCCAACCCAATGGCCCGTATGCAAGAACTTATCACTTGATAGCCTATTACATGAAAGCTATCATGATAGGTATCAGGCGTTAGGTCTATTATTTGCTCAGTTCCGTATGCAAGAACAAATTATAGGTATCCATCGTGAGGCCTATTATGATATGTATCTTCATACCTATCATGATAGGTATTCGTGAATCTTCCTGATGACAACCTCCATCCATCGTCTCCCGCCCAGGAACAATGCCATGTGTATCTGCTCACATGACTGACCAGAGTGTTGTGTGATGATTTAACGGCATTAATCAGACCCCGTTTACCAAACTAGTGCTTGAATTCCGACTGCCGTGGCTTGATACAAAGAATTCTATGGGATTTAATCTATCTCAGAGTAACTGCGCTCAGCCCAAGTTGCTACGGTTCACATAATTAATTGGGTTAATAAAATGTACTGCAATCCACATGATGCATCATGATAGGTATAAAATGTTTCTGCATACGGCCAACCTATCAAACCTATCAAACTTATCATATGATACCCCCCAAAATAGTTATTTTATCGGTTTTATACGTTCTTGCATACCAGCCAATATGATGCGTCGCACGGCCTTCGACTTGCCATCGGATTTGCTCACGCATAAAACGTGTCGCTTATCGCGCAAAATGCCAGGTGATGATTCAAACTACTAACGTCATCGTTTGGAACGAAGCGCCGATGGCGCCCGCTGAAGCGCTGGCAACGATCGATAGGGCGTTGCGAGACTCGATGGACGATGACCGACCGTTCGGTGGCAAAGTAATCGTGTTGGGTGGTGACTTTCGTCAAGGGTTGGCAGTCGTCTGCAAAGCATCTCACGGTCGAAGCGTCAAGATTTGCATCAAAATGAGCCCGTTGTGGCCATCGTTCCGAACGATTCGTTCGACAGAAAGCATGCGTGCTGCCGCAAATGAAATTCGTTTTGCTCGATGGTCGCTCGATGAGGGCAGCGGAACGCTTCCGCGAGGACAGGGCGGTCGATCCGAGCTCTCCGTGCGTTTCAATCACACGATCACGATCACGATCTTGACATAAGATTGTGATCTGGTGAACGAGCGATTTGGACAACGGCATAGGGTCTGCGATGCCGAAGCGTGCAGCAAGCGCGTATTTTGCGTCCCAAGAATGAGCACTCCGTTTGGGCAATGAGGACGTGTCGTCTCATTTGGAAGTCGAAATGCGGACTCTTCACAGTATCGACACTGAAGAACGATAAAGGTGATGATGATGCCGACCGGCTGGTCAACTTTTTGGTTGAATTCCTCAGCACTCCGTGTTTCACTTTTCACGCCTTAAATCTTGAAATTGGAGCTATTGTAATGCTTCTCCGGAATCTCTCGATCGAGAATGGCCTTTGCAACGGCATGCATGCGATCGCGAGGGACACGGACGTAAATGTCTCACACGTTGAGGTGATCACGGGTGCACTTCGTGGCAGCGCTCATTTGCTGCCAAGATTTTCACTGGACACGTCATTCGACGTCGGCATACCGTTCGATCTTTTGTGTGACGTCGATTTCCTATCGAGCTTGCCTATGGTGTGACTGTAAACAAGTCTCAGAGACAGACATTCGATCGAGTCGAACTACAATTTCCGCAGCCATTATTCATTCATGGGGAAATGTACGTTGTCTGCTCGGGAGTTCGCTGAGGATGCGCTAAAGATTCAGGTTATAAATAGACTGAGGCCAGTCAAAACTGATGCATCGTTACCAGCAATGTGGTTTTAGAAGAAGTACTTATTGGATTGTGAAATTCATTTGTCATTTTCGTTCATTATGAAATGAAACTTTCCGTTTCAGTCCCACGTGTGTCGTGATTCTCGATCTTTAATTGTTCCTACAATATTTTTTTGCACATGTCGAACTTATTGATGGTTATTTTTTGCGCATACCGGCAGGTGTAGCATGCTGTGTCTCAGCATATCTTTGATGCATATATCTGATTGGAAAGAAAGTTCTCGGAATTTCTTGAATATCCAGTACA